TGAATCAAAGAAAGAAAAAGAGAAAGTGAAAAGCATCCAGGTACCTGCTGTTTCCTCTCATTGCTGTGGACTGAATTATGTCTCCCCCAAACCCATATTCAAACCCTAACCCCTACTCTGACTGTATTTGGAGATAAGGAGGTAATTATGGTTAAATGAGGTCCTAGGAGTGGGGCCCTGTATGAAAGGAGTACTGTCCTCATCAGCTAGAGAGTTCGCTCTCCCTTGCTCTGCACACAAAGAGGTCACTGAGTGCACAGTGAGATGGGGGCTGCCTCCAAGTCAGGAAGGGAGGCCTTCCCAAGGACGTGCTGGCACCCTGATCCTGGACTTCTAGCCCCCAGACTGAGAAAATGGATGTCTGTTGTTTAAGCCACTCAGTCTGTGGTATTTTGCTATGGCAGCCCAAGCAGATTAATGATACACTTGTGACAAATAAAAAGGCAGTTTAAAGAGAGAAAGCTTTAATTATACAGGCAGTAATGCTGACCATTGCTTTAGGTTAACGGAATACAATTTAATGCTCACAGGTTGTGTACATTTCATGATCGCAATTCCCTTTTTACTAGTTCCTAGGAATTTTTCTTTAATTTAAGGCAATATTTTTGTTTTGGATTACTAGGTATTTCTACTTTGTCTGCTAAAGCACTGAAAAAAATACCACACTGTTCTCTCAGCAGAACCTGCCGCTCACTGTTTCTGAGATGTTGAACTGTACAAAGTCATTGACTTCAGATGCAGTGTCCCTATAATGGGTTCAAAGATCACCATTCATCAACTTTCTTCAGTTTTCAATGGACTGGCTTCACATTTTTACTTGCTTTTGTCTCCTTAGGCCATTTTTTTTTTTTCTGTTTTTCAATACCATTACACAGTGATATTAGAAATCTCATAGAAAACTTGGCAGCATATGCTATTTTATTTCTGTGGGAGGGAGATTGAGTCAGTAAAGAGGTATAATCAGTGCTATCATAATCGTATTCTGAGATGTGTAACTGTATAGGTAGCCTAAATTTTAAAGATGGTAGGACCCGAGGCATTGTCTGGTCCAATCCCCTCGTTTTGGAGATGTATAAACTGAGACCCAGGGACCTCAGGTCATATTCTCAAAGCTTATACTCAGCCTAGAGCAGAATTTTGGCTTATTCATTCATTCAGAGATATTCCAGGCCTTGAGCACAGCAAGAGAGCAAATAAGTTCACAATGAATTTTATATTGAATTAGATAATTCGTTTTCTTAGTTATCTTG